GGCGGCAAGTGTGTTGGNGGAGGGGGCGGTTGGGAGGGGTTTGGGCGGTTGGGGGGGAAAAAGGGGGGGCAAAAGTTAAGGGAAGGGGGGTTTACCAAAACAAACACCACACGGACACACCTCAACCTCAACCCACTTTTCGTGATCATCATTATCATCATCATCATCATTATTATCATCGGGGGACTGGGCGGCGACTGCCATCCGCACACATCCACTTCGCAAAATTATTCACTAAGAATAATTAATTATTTTATTTATTTATTATTTTTATTTAAAATTTTATTAATTATTTTATTCCTTGTGTTTGGCACAACACGAAATTGTAGTCGCTATCCTGCGGTGTCCTCCTCCTGTGTGTGGAGGGGGGGAAGGTAATATTGGAGTCCTGGCGCCCGTGACCGACCGACCGACCGACTGATGCAGTACATCTCTTACGTCCTGTAAATTTCACCCTCGCCGCCACTCCTTTACACACACATACGTACATACATACATACATACACACGCACACCACCCGACCATCCCAACCCCTCAATGTTTCTGCACCCAGTCTGCACTTTCTGATTTCTCACTTTCTAATGACTTTATGAAATATTATATTTTACACACCAAGGAGGACCACACTGCTTCCCGCTTGTAAAAGAACACGTCAGTATATAGTTACGTCATATTAATAGACACATGTTCATAGACATATTTACGTTGTATAAACAAACGTGTTTATGCTCCACAAAAAGCATGTTAGGGTTTTTGGCACTTGGTCGCCCACCAGTTGCCCCCAACCTCCTTTCCCCCCCGCCCCCCCCCTCACCACATTGCCGTCCTTGTTGTAGTACTTGGCCACTCCGTAGATGGCCCAGGCGTTCATAATGGCCCACGTCGTGACAAAGTAGTAGAAGAACACAGTGCGCCAGGGCTGCAGTACAACAAACGCATAACAATCGTACAAGTCAGTAAGTGCATGTGTAATAAACTGTTTACTTAGCTTTTCCTTGATAATAATATTATTGGAATCCGGGGAGAATGTATACGACGCGGCGGAAGAAACAACAAACAAACAAGGAA